CCCCTCCCTCCCTCCCTTGAATTTGCTGAAAGCATTTTCAACCCCTTTCCTGTGCAGAAAACCCGCTCTGGGCACCTTACAAAATAGAACGGACGATTAGCAATTTTAATAAAGCAAATGTCAACATATCCAAGCACCACCACGTTCAAATGCTATTTTCGCCAGGTAACTCTCTCTCATATGTGTAGGCGGGCACATCTTTGAACACTCATGCACCTACACACCTGAGGCGGAGAGATGTGCAACAGAGAGGAGGGATAAGAAATGATGTTTTAAAACCAGGGAAGTAAGATTTATTTTTTGCATACTATTATTCTCACGTTTCCTGTATTTGGTATGGCCACAGATTATCTTGCTTAGTGTGTTTTCAGAACTCTGCCTTCTCTTTTAATAATTTCCCCCCCCCAAAAAATCCTACAAAAGTTGAGTCACTTTGTTTCTTTTTCCTAGGAATGTACAATTGTACTTTTAAAATACCAAGAACCCTTAGTTCTAAATTTCTGGCTAAACCAGGCATGTACTGTATGGTTTTGGTTTTTTTTCCCTCCCTGGCTGCTGCTACTTCCTTAGTTCTGTAATGCTACCTTATATGCATTGTTCTTTCTTTGGTATTTGTACTCTGCTTGGTCAGGAAACCAAGGCAAGCTGATTGGTCTGTGATTCTGAGCTGTAAATGAGCAAAGACCTTTTTGTTTTTAAGGTCAGCTAAGCAGCTGTGCCTCTACTTTCCCACCTTCCTCAAAATTGTGATCAGAAGTTGAATTTTTGACAAAGAGAAAAGAGGCCTCTTGTGTTCTGTTTTATTATTTCAACATGTCCAGCACACAGCAGGTGGCCAGCTTTCAGAGCAATGCAACAGATAAGCATTAAAACATTAATTTGCTTAACGATTTAACGTCAGCTTTACTTTCTCCTGGGATTTTGAGTGAGTCATTGTTTCTCCAACTACCTTGCCTGGCCGAGGGATTCATAAAGACAAAATGGCATTGTGCCGTGCCAAGAATGCTGGGAATTGCAGTTCCAAAGCATCTGGAGGGCAACCAGTGAAGGACAGCTACTCCAGTCCGTGATATGAGAGCATCTTCTACCCTCATGGAAAGCCTCTCCAACATGACCTTCTTCAAAAGGCGTGGCATTCAGACCTTCTTTCCCATTGTCTTGAGGTCTAGAAGTGTGCTTTCCCCATTTAAAACAGAAACCAGGTGCCTGGATAACAACCAGGCCCCAGCTCCAAATGCTTGTAAGGTTGTAGTGGGAACGACTCTGTGACCTACAGTGGGGCAGATCCTTCTCCTCTTCCTCTTTACCTTGTGCTCAATGGTCTTTGCTTCCTCTTCCCCCTGTGGTAGCAGCCCACACTTATCTGCTTCCTTCTGGCCTCTTGCTCAGATAGTTGAGGATCTGCTCTGTCTTGCCGTCTAAACTTCCCCCTCTTGGTGGCTCCTTGCAAATGCTGTCCAGATGTTGATTGGAGGTCCTTGGTTGAAAAAAAGTGAGTTTCTGCCTGGGTCTGTATATATTTTTATGTGTATATTTATATATCTAAATAAAAGCATGGGTGAAACATGCTTTGGAGCTTAAGGAAAGCCCTGGGGGCCAACAGTTTCTTAGATGGCCATGGCTCATGCTTCTGTCGGTTGCAGAGAAAAGCTTCTAAGTTGAGTGCTGCAGTTTCCAAAGAACTTGGAAAAACACAGCTGCCAGTCAGAGTAAATTGCCCTGGCCTGTATGGAACAAAGGGCCAGCCCTTGTAGAGGGAAGCTTCCAATATGCCCATGAAATCCCAACGCAACTGGGCCTACAAAGGCCAAGGAAGAGCATTCTGGAGCTTAGCAGGAGAGGATTTCCTTTGCAGGCAGAAGATTAAAAGATCTCTATCGGAGCATCTCTATTTAGAAGGAGAATAAAAGGATATATGTTCTGGGAAAGAACCTCTTCTGCATCCAAAAGATCTGGAGATGATCAGGCATGATGTAGAATAGATAACTGTGTTTAGATGGGCTAAGGGTAAAATGTGGAGAGGAAGGGTGATTGTCTCCCAAGGGAGTGGATGAAGGCTGCCCCCCACCCCTGGGCCCACTCCAAGCACTTGCTAGCATTTTTGCTAAGTTTTGCCATGACCACCTACGCCTTTTTTGCTCTCGAGCTGAGAGGGATGCCGCTTCTGAGTGACCTCATACATCCGCACAGCTCCCGGAGAGGGAACAAAGCTATGCTTGTTCATGGACTGATGCAGGACAGCTTGCAAACACTAGTGGGCTTGACAAGACCCCTGCAGCCTTGCCTAGGGACCCCTCTGCTCTTTGAAGACTAGGCTGCAACCTTCCAAACAACCACTAGGGGACAGTAAGGAGACCCAGAACGTGCCAATGCTTTGCTGCCATCTCCATCTACTGGCAGTTGAGATATTTGCAGCCCAATATCTTAAATTCAGCTTATGCCTCTCTGAATTTAAATGACCAGATGGCTGTTTGGTGAATCTTCCAGTCAGTCAGAGGTGACCTTGCCTGACCCTCTACAGTGAATCTGCTTCCAGAAGGGAAAATCTTTCAGGAACCAAAACAATATCATCTTTGATGGAGAAGGTGGTGGTTGAAAAATCCTAAGGTCTGAGATGTGCAACCCCCCCAAAACCCCCCCAACAAAACAACAATACTGCAGATGAGGAGGTGGAAGAGGAAGGGGAGTTATATTAACTCCAGCGAGGGCTGAACATTGAAGTGCTGTCTAGGGAGGCCAGGAAGAAGAATGGAAAACCAGTGGAGAAGAATTAATATCCAAAGAAATTACTTATTCGCTGATTGGCTGTGGATGATTAAACCTACATGAAAAATATGCCTTAATATATTAGTGTTTCCAAACTTAGCCACACTAAGGGGTGGATTTCAACTCCCAGAAGTCTCAGTGATGCTTCTGCGGTGACAGGGATTCTGGGAATTGAAGTCCACCCCTCTAGAACTTGCCCAGTTTGGAAAACATCACTCTAGAATAAATTCTTCTTTATAAATATTTGCCCACCTGTGAAATACGTTGGACTTGAATGTTTGTTTTCCTCCTGCTCTGCATATGTCATTTTTTTGTTTGTTTCCAAAAGGACTTCCAAAAACTGCCAAGGGGCAATTGTCCCCTTACAAGGAAAAAAAGCAGCTCAGGATGAGAGCGTAGAGAAAGATGGAATTTTGACATTGGGGCTCCATATTGGTCTGGATTTGTGTGTGGAGGAAGCATGATTCAGTATGGAAATCTGTCCACTGCTTCATAGACATCTAAGGAGTGTTTTAGACCAAAAAGAAATAATAGTTTAGGATGCTTGGTTGGATGTTCAAGGTGAAGGTTATAACGGCCCCAATAATTGTCAGTGGGGAGATTTTCTTCTCTTTGGAAAACCTTTTCATTCATTCATTCATTCATTCATTCATTCATTCAAATGATGATGGTGATGACGACAATTGCAAATAGCAAGCGATGGAAATGTGCAATTTTAGATTGTAATGTTTTTTCAGATGATTTTATGTCGGAGAAATATACATGCCTCTGCGGGAGTAGGTTGGAAGAACAATGATGAGCATTTTTATAATGTCCATAATTAGGCATCATATTGTTTTTGAACGATTGGGCCCCTTTAATGTTTGGGATTTATTTGCATCCATTTCAAGTTGCCTGCTGAGCATATTTTGAGGGACTCATTTCCCCTGTTCTCCGGGGGCATTTACTGTTTTTTCTTTTTTGGTAATAAGTTTATTAAAGTTGACAAATCCAAAGGTAAAAGAGTAATACAAACCATAGAAAATGAGGAAAAGACAAAGAAAAGTGGAAAGAGAGAGAAAAAAGAAAACTTTTTTTTCTTCTTTTCCGATTTTTTTATCCCGCCTTTCTTATTTTTATAAATAACTCAAGGCGGCAAGCATCCCTAATATTCCTTCCTCCTCCTATTTTCCCCACAACAACCATCCTGTGAGGTGGGCTGGGCTGAGAGAGAGGGACCGGCCCAGAGTCACCCAGCCGCCTTTCCTGCCTAAGGCAGGACTAGAACTCACTGCCTCCTGCTTTCTAGCCTGGGGCCTTCCCCACTAGCCCATTTCTTCTTCCCCTTGGCCAACCCGCCCGTGCATTTTTTCCCCATTCATCTTCATTAAACATTTTAAGACTGAAATACAGAGAACAAACCCGCCACCAGAATTTTTCTTTAAGCATAAAGAAAAGTTACCCAGCAAAGGCAAATTCGTTTCGTTTATCCAGGGTAAATTTCCAAAGATCTTCAGAAAGGCATGCTTTTAGAATCCGGCTTGGCCCGGGGTCATCGCCTGGAAAGCTGATCAGGGTGTAAGCCTCCGAGCCCCAGCGGTCTTCTGGAATGGGAGTCATTCTTCTGCCCCCTAACCAGGCGTCTCTGCCAACCTGCTTCTGTGTTTAGCTGGGGCAAGGATTGTGCCCGCGGCAGTCCATGCCCGAGCCCAGCCTCCGAGGTCTTGCTCCTATTATTAGCAGCTGCTGGGGCTTCACTCTGAGATTGGAATTAGGAGTTGCTAAAGTTAGCTTCTGCAGGGGCAGAAGGTTGATCTCTGGGGAGTTGAAGGGAAAGAGGGGGGCCCGCTCACTTCCTGGCTCTGTCGTTCGGGGCAGCTGAGGGTTGAGCACAGGAGGGAAGGGCCAAGGCAGGGTTGATGACGTTTTCTCCAGCTTTGGCATCTCTCTAGAGCAGGATTTCTCAACCTTGGCAAACAATTGCAAGGGGTAGGCATATTCTATCTCCTCCATATTCACCTCCTCCCACCCATACCCACGCGGGGTGGGTGTGTATTTTTTA